ATACAGGTTACTTTAATATAGCTTAAAATGAAAGCGGAGGGAGGGGGCCCAGAAAGAGATTGTTCTCCTAAGCAGGAGCAAGGCATTAAATAGAGAAATGAGAAAAGAGGAGTGTGTGTGTGTGTGGGGGGATCTGATTTAGATTTCAAATTTTTATAACCATTGGCATCTAGTTTCTAAAGTTGTATTTAAAGTGAGTAATTTATGCTGGCATCTCGCACAATTTACTTATCCTCGTTAAAACACTTGTTTTGAAATATTGGAATAGATCAGTTGCTTCCAGTTGTAAGAGAGAATGAATTTTAATTCACTGCAGGTGGTGTGAACAGCTAACTTAAGCTTACTTCACTTAAAAGTAGCTACTGCTGAGCCTTTTCACAAAGGATCTGTTTGTTGCTGAAGTTTGGTTGTTTGTTTATTGCTCAGTTCACATGAATGTTGCATAGAGTAAGGAAAACTTTCTGTGTTTTGCCTTCAATGGTTATTTCTTGGAACTAAAAGTAGTAGCTAAAGAACAAGTGCTAGATAAGAGATTTGCAGCCAAATGTTGTAAAATATCTAAATCTTCTTTATAGTAGGCTCTTACTTCCCATAATGTTATCAAATCTTACAGGCTTCTGCTGCATTTACAACAAGAAAACAGGACAAAGTACAATGTTCTGGAGCAGTCAAAAATCAAGTTGTGATTTCAATAGATTCAACTCTGTGTAGTACCTAACAAAGTTTTGAATTTAAGTAAAATTTTTAATGCCTAAGGAACTTTATTAGTTTTGGAGTCGGGAAGATCTTACAAATATTAAATATCTTTGCAGGAACACTTAGTCAGTCTGGATGAGCCAGCCTCGGAAGCTGGACAAGAAGCTCTGCTTAGACAAGAGCAAGCAAAAATCATTCGTTTTGAAAGGCAAGCGGAAGAGTTCCTCAATGCAGTCTTTTACAGAAAAGGTTGGTTTTACTGGGGGGGTGGGGTGGGGAGGGAAGTGGTATCTCTTGCTGGTCTCTTTGCATGCAATGCTGGTATCAAAGACCTGACATTCAAGTTGTTATTTCATGTCCAGTATATTTCAGTTGTAGTCTTTTATATATATTTATCAAGGGTATTAGTTGACTGTCAAATAACACAGCAATATAACAATGTGGGCTTGGGAGAGAGGAAAAGAGTATAATATACTTAGCCCTAAACTGGATCTCATCCTGAAAACACATGTTTTGCACTTTCAGAGGAATAACTCAGTTCTTACCTAGCATAACTGCTCCCCTGAAACCAGTGTTTGGGTGAGTGGGCTGTTTGGAAGAAGGGGCAAGTGGTGGGAGTGGTAGTAGGTGGGTAATTTTAAACAAAAAAATACTTTTTAAAATCTTACTTTAATGGGATGTATACTAATACAGTCTTCTCACTATGGTCTGTAGTGATTACACATCCCCAGAAATCAACAGTACAAAATAATGCTGGAATAGTGCTAAGGTGGATATATGGAGAATTCAAAATGTGATCAGCAAAAGAATTGGAAAATCAATGCTGTAGAATATCCTGAGAACAATAACAGTAGCTCAATGCTAGACAATGCTGTAAATCTCCTCTGGAGAGTTATGTCAGTTAAACTGTGCTCTTAGGAAGGTACAAAACTCATTTCAGTGTTTTCTACCAGTCTGAAAAATGGGAATCCAGAGGTTGCTTCCAAATGCATCGTGAATGAAAGTACGTTGTACTTATCAGTCTAACCCATGTGTGAGAAAATCTGCCAAATCAGTGATTCCAACCTGTCTTCTGGGGGACAATGCAAGGCTTCAGTTTAACAAATTAGAAATTGCTGTAGCCAGTCCTCAGCCCTTCCTCCCAGGGACCAAAATATTTAAAGGTGTTTTAAGCAGATAACAGTATCTTAGCTTTTCTTTTAGGACTCAAATGAAGAAATACAGACTATACATTATGATGTATTACGTAAAGTATAGAAGCATGTAGGATGGTAGGAAGGATAATTATTGCATTACTACTGATAGTTCAGATAATGCTTTTATTGCAAGTCTTCCTTTTCAGTGTGTGGGGTTTTTGTTGTTTGGCTTCTTTTTTTCCTTCTTTCTTCTAAGGTTAATGTTTCTTTTTACTTTTAAATGTATCCCATCTCTCTTTTTTAAATCCAGAAGGGATTTAAGTAAACAAAAATCTAGAGAAAATACACTTTTTTTCATTTTATCTTTCTTACAAGAGAAACTAATGCACTTCCATCACCTCCAAATGGTTTATTAAAAATATGATCCCTTTAACATTGAGCTTAAATTTTTCAGTATGACCTGCGTGTGTGTCTTATTAGAAATGCATACTTTTCTGAATGTTGGAAGACCATTGGCAGATATTGAAGTGTGCTAATGAGGGGTTTAATGCTCTGTCCATGGTCAGATGCACACAATGAAGATAATGAAATGGCTTCAGATGTCTAAGAATCTTTGTGAATTTTTTTTAATATACTCTTGCTTTCCTTCCTCTGGCAAAGCTGTGCTTGGTGCAAGAGTAATAAGGGAGGGGAAGCAGCCTGTCAGGAAGTCAGTTTTGAATCCTTAATATGCATCATTGTCAAGCTTAGCTGTATTTAGATTGCCTGAAAGGTTATTCTAACTCATGCCAATGCCATAAGATCCCCAGGCACTGCCATACCAAAGAGGACACAAAGAATGGCAGAACTCTCACACTCCTGTGTTGCCCAGAGATGCTGGGCTCTTCTGGCTTCATGCCAGTCATTAGTTCTTTCCTTTTTTGTTTGTTCTTTTCATCCTCACTGCCAGTAACATTTGAGACTGCTATTTTCTAGCCCAGGCAGATCAGAGAAGATGCGGATGTTCTGTGAACAGGTGCCTGTTGCATGTCAAGGACATGCACTCTTATACTTAACAGACATAGGCAATTAGCATGATCAGCAAACTTTCTGAGCAGGTCCATTAATCTTACGCACTTCCTCTCTGCTTTGTGCCTACTCTGTGATGCATCTTTCAAATATTCATACTTCCCAGTTTCTGTACATACCTAGTTGTCTGTTACCTTTACCTTGTGGCAGGATAGGACCTTCTTTTGATGGTTTAATGAAGATTTCAGTGTAGATAAAATACACAAGCTATTAAAATTTTTAAAGCTCAGAGGTACTGCTTTAGACTATTTATAGCTGATGAATATTTGCTGTATTGTTCTTCTCTGAGAGTTTCTATGGTTTAGTTAATTTTAATTTATTTAAAAGAAAAACCAAACAAGAAAATGAGACACATGGAGTCAAAATAAACATCTGTTGATTTCAAGTGATGCTGCAGAGGCACCAGCAAATGTTTTCCACTTGCTTTTGAACAGCTTTAATCCATAGTGTTCAGGCTTTATATTAAACAAGAAGCCTTTAATGTGCTAGGTAACTACTCTCCTGCTTAAAAATTGAGTTCTATATCCTGAATTAGTGAGTTTATCTTGAGCAGCACTGGAAAGCTCTCAGTAGTGATCCTGTGCTTATTCTTTGAAGGCACAGATTATCAAGATGCATAGCTGTAGGTATACACAATATTTTCTCCCTGAATTTGGAAATATCTTCAGCTGTAAGGATTACTGAATTGTATTTATGGACATGGGTGCACAGTGAAGGCATCATTCTTCTTCAGAAACCATAGGTGCCACAGAGCTCTGTGTTCCTGCCAGCCCCACTTGTATATGCTACAAGCACGTGTCGAATAGTTGGTATAAGTGTGATCATGCCGCCAGTTTGTGCCTTTGTGGGCTTTTCTAGAGCCTTTCATATGTCCTTCAGCCTGTTATAGTAGAGAGGCGAGAAAATGGAAGAAATGTCACCATAGCAAAAAAAAAAAGCCTTCATGTTTCTCCAGGGTCCTTGTGGACTGCTTAGGAAGAAAATGAGAATATAAATGTACCTAAATTCAAGTTTGGCTCATCTCTTGGTAGCTGCTTAAAACTCTAGTGTCTCATCCTTAGCAACAATAAAACACCCTGTAGATTTTACAAGAAAATTATTATGAATTTACATGAACATCTTGAAAGTTTACAGCTATTATACCCTTATAAGAATATACATGGTTGCAGTAAACGGTCTTAGATTTAGAAAGCTGTGCTTAACAGGAAGGAATTTGGGCTTGATAAGTATTTAAAGCTCAACATGGTTTTTCATCAAGAAACACAGTAGCTGCTGCTTACTGCTTCTCACTGGTTTGTGGACAGCTCCATGTTTAAACCTTCATGTCAGTCATCCTTTACAGATGCACTAAAGCTGGATTGTTGGGATGATGCACTTCTGTCAGAAATGACAGCAAAAGGCAAATCTAACACTGAACTATCCCACAGAAGATTTTGCTCATGCTTTTAATAATAGTTCAATCTCAATAAATTACCTTTGAACTTGGGCAATTTTTTAGAAAGAGGAAGTAAACGCTTCTCTGTTGTTCCATTTTGAGAGCTGGTTTTAGGGATTTGCTTGGTCTTCTACTGCACAATTTTCTCTGAATGTTTCTTCAGACATAGAAAATCAGATCTTCTGAGCCATTTCTGGAGTTGTGTGGTTGTTATTGCTTTGTTTTGTGGGTTGTTTGGGGTGCTTTTTTCCAACATCCCCAAATACTTTTGTATTTATACACCATTTCATATAAATAAATTGGAGTGTCTACCTGTTCCATTTTACATTTCTAATAGATTTAGCAGCTCTCCTAGATACAGAGTTATTTTTTATTTGACACATCTTGAGGGTTTTGTGTATGTGAAAGGTCTTTGAGTAATCCCAGATGTTGCATTGATTATAATGATAGAAATGTCAAAAGTAATAGATAGAATGGGATGGGAGACACTTGCATATTTGATCTTGATATGAATTATTTAGAAGAATCAGAGCTATAGGGCTTGATTTCTCAGTAGACTTGTAATGGACAGCTGCAACTTTATTCTCCTTTCTCCCCTTCTGTAGCTGCAGGTAAGTTACTCAATTCTTCCTTTGAATAACCTGTTGAATTTTTTTTGTTGAATGAGCTTCATTACTCAGTACTTATCTTCATAAGTCTAACTCTCCTTTCTGTTTCCACACCTCTTAAAGGTCTGGTCAAATATATCTAAGTTTGAAAACAAAAGATAAGATTGCATATTTCTTATTTTGGCAAGGTTATACCAGAATTAGCAGTGGTTTTTGTTCAGGTATTCTAAGACTAAAGTACATTTTCTACAGAAACTATTTTATCTTTGGCTTTCATTCCCCTCCCCCCCCACACACCTTAGATGATTATTGTTTTTTAAAATAAACAATGATTTAATATAAAAGCTGTTTTACTTAAAGTGCTTCCTTAAAAAAAAATCTCTAATATTTACAGACAGTCCTAGGGTCTCTGACCCCAATATTCCCCTAGTGGCCCGTGAGATCATGCAGCGAATGATCCGACAGTTTGCTGCTGAATATACCTCAAAAACTAGCTCTACTCAGGACTCCAGCCAGCCCAATAGCACAAAGAACCAAAGCCTGCTGAAAGCATCTCTGGTCGCCTCCTCTCCCACGGCTGCAACTGCTCAGAACCCTGTGCTCAGCAAACTTCTCATGGCTGACCAAGACTCACCTCTGGACCTTACTGTCAGAAAGTCTCAGTCAGAACCTAGTGAACAAGGTAGGACTCTTATCAGTGTCTTGCATCCTACAGCAATCCATTAATGGCATTCTTGTTGCAAAACCAGGCAATTGGAAGGTTGCACTTTTACATAAGCTGTAAAGTGGAAAAGCAGTAGATGTTTTTAGAATAAAATAACAACTAGCTAGGTGTGGCTGGGAGAGAAGAGACTTTTGGGGAGAATGTAGGCCCATAGACGTGAGTGATTTTTCTCAAGAAGGGCAAAGGGAATGGACGTGCTCCAAACTCTGGAGACAAGTGGGCTGTTCCTACTGGGAGCCGCAAGAAACAATCTGCCAAAATAGACTGTACGGTTGCTGATAAGGCAGGTTCACATGGTCATGAAAACCATAATGTTGTCTCCTTTCTGAGATCAGTACACAGTCTGATTGAAAGACTGATTTATTTTCTTTCTGGACATAGTGTGAAAACAGTATCTTTTTAAAAGTCTGTGAGAAATGGCTTTGTGAAGGCTGTAAAAATGATACCCATGAACTGTACAAAACTTCCAGGTTTATGCATTTGGAAGAAATGTCTCTCTTCTGCCTTAAAAATAGACTTGTTCTGCCGAGCACAGATTGAATAACTTGTAACAGCATTGCAGAGCTTGTTTTAATTTGAAAACCTTGCTTGCCATTAAAAATGTTCTTTAACAAGCAAGTTCTGTGAGTGATTTACAGTATGTGAATGTTGGTTTGGGTTTTTTCCTGAAACTGTTGACTAGAGGTTATCATAAGTGTCCTACTGAGAGGATTAAAATTAGCCCCCTTACCCTTCTTTAGAAGTGTATTAGTGTCTGAAATGGTTCTGTCAAAACCAAAGTAGGCTGTCCATCCTCCAGTGGGAAAGGTGCCTTTAAAAACCAAGTACAGAACTGTGGGTATCCCTTTATTCTTTGAGCTTGGATATGTGAAGCCTTTTGCACAAAGGTTAATTTGATGTGTCCAACAGTATGCAGCTTGGGCGTCTGGACACTTTCTGCACCTACAGCACTTGCTGAAAGTTGTCACCACACTTCAGTTACAAAACTGCAGTGGAAGGTTATATGGTGTCAGCAGAAGATTGTGTGGTGCTGGTCTTGAAGTGAGGACCTGTTCATTTAGCTGATAGGAATTTGTTTCTAGCTAATTATAAATGTTTTTCACAACTGTCTGTTGCATATATGCTTAAAAATGTTAAACTGTTCTTATTGTGAAGCTTTTTGCTGAGAGGGAGAAAATCAGATTTGCTTCTGTTTCTTTTTTTTTTTTCTGGTTGCTTTTTTTAATTAGAGGATTGTAGGTGAAGAAGAAAGCATGAACTGTTCTTTAGCTACCATGTGATGAAAAAGCTCTAAGATAATTTAGAATGTTCATAGAATTCTAGTATCGTTTGGGTTGGAAGGGACGTTAAAGATTATCTAATTCCAACCACTACCCTTCATAACACTTGTTATGGAGTTAGAACATATACATATTAACTTATACAGTAATCTGTTTGCTCACATAATTTTTTTTTTCTTACAATTTACATTTAATGTACTTGGGAAGAGATTTTGCCAAGCTTGTTAATGAGAAATATAAGAGGCTGTCATGAAAGACTGCTAGCGGTGCTTATTGTTATACTTCTGTTCTAGTGGGTAAGCTAGTTGTAAACTTCTGTGGAGTATGAGGCTGGCCCTACTTGCCCTTGGAGACTTCTAGGTCATTATGACCTTTCTGACAAAGGAAGCGTGGATGCAAGTGCCCCTGGCAGCAGTCCGTGCTGTTTGGTGTAGCCCCTTGAAAAAGAGGTGCTACTTGATCCAGTCTCTGTTTCTTGTGTCTGCGTAACTGTTGTTCAAAAGGAAGATTGAATTCTCTGCTTAGGTTTGGGTTGTGGTATGTTCCCAAATGTAGTGGGTGGAACAGCTTTCCACAAGTTAATTCTAGTTCACTGTTTATCATGGATTTTTTTTTTCTCCATATGTCAAATGAGAACTTTAAGCAATCTAAAAGCCATCTTGCATTGTTCTTGTGCTGGGTGGCATTTACTTGATTAGATGGAGTAAGTGAGGAGCTCTGAAATGTCTCTAGTTTACCTTGCCAACAGGTTTCATTTATCTTTGCCTTATACATTCCTTGTTTCAAAGTTTCCAAGAATTTCAAATGGCTGTGCTGCTTCTATAACAATGTTGCCCTTTTAAAATGACCAGATTTTCAAGTCCTTTCAGTGCAGTGGGAGCAAGGCTTTGCTAGCAAAAAGCGCTTCCTTTTCTGTTGCCTAGAAATAGAGAGTTTACGTAAGGGCTTGGAGAAGAGCATGGGTGAGTGTGAGGATGTGCTGTTAGTGAGAATGGAAGAAGCAGTCTAGCAGGAAAAACAATTTGGGATATGAAGAAGAGAGGGAGTAAAATGACACAATAGAGAGGGGAAAGGGAGTAGCTGTGCCAGTAGAGACCCATTGGAGACATGGAAAAAAAGATGATGATAGCTGCCAGGTGAGGAGGAGTCTCACATTTATGTGTGTTTTTATTTGAAAGTGAGTTTCCAATATGAAATTCCCAGTGAATTTTCCTGCAGAGATTTGGATTTAAAAAAATTCAAATACTCGCTTAAAGTCCCCCTTTAAGAAGAGGGAATGTATCAGGAATTTGAAGATTACCTCATTTTGGGACCAGTGAGGGTTAGTTGTGTGATAGGTTGTGAGGGTTAGTTGTGTAATAGGTTGTGATATATCCTGAACTGTCATTTGTAGGTCACCTTTTATTCCCTGGCTCTGGTAATAGGTGCACTTTTAATTTTGTCAAGTTATGTTGTGACTTTGGAGGGCTATGTTGAAGTCACATGTAAGCCAGATTGCAAACAAATCAAAGCCTTAGTTTGTTTAAAAATAAAATTAAATAGAAAATGTTGTGTGTTAAATAAGACTTTAGCCCAAAAGACTTGTGTCAAGGGACAGCATGGCTGATCCTGCTTCTTCAAACGCTGAAGTCATTCTTTTGTCTCTACAGACGGTGTGCTTGATCTGTCCACTAAGAAGAGTCCTTGTGCAGGCAGCACCTCTCTGAGTCATTCTCCAGGGTGCTCCAGTACTCCGGGAAATGGGTAAGAGACAGCAACTTACTATGACCTTTTCAAACTGTTTTTTACTAAAAATGTGTGCTTACCTCCTGTTAATTTTAACTTACTTTTGGTGTTAACCCTTTGGAGTAATGTGTTTTTCAACTTGTGCCTTTTGGCAAATACCTTCACCCCACCTGCCAAATAAGTTGTTGCAGTTTAAAACTCTAATATCTGTTGTTTTGGCCAATTAGGTACTTAGCCAAAGATCTGTCCATTACCTGCTGCTTGGGTTTAGTGGTAATCTATGGAGATGACAGTTCAACTAAATGTACAAAGAGCCTTGGAGTCTTTGCAATACAATTTAGATTTTGTTTCACTAAGGGCAAAATCAGCTAACATTAAAGTTTAGTTTAGGAGGGTAGCAATGATTTGAGTGATGAACCAAGTTGAATTAAAAGATTTGAATCACTGCATGCTTTTTGTTAATACTTCCTACCATAAACCACAACTTAAAGTGGCTGGGGGAGGGAGTCTGGTAGCTCAGAAAACTTTAAACATGGCTTTTTGGATTTGCGATTGTACCGTAGCACTAAACAAGTTTAAAACAATAATTATAAAATCTGTGGTGTAGTACTCTTGCCTTAATTAGTTCAAGGTGTGAAAGAATGGTATATAAAGTTACTTTTAGCTTTCATATTTCTAATGGTCACTGTTTGCATACATTTAGAAACCCTTTACTCTTAGTTAGGATTGAGTTAATTGTACTGGAGAGACTGACTGGGAGTAAGAGGGATTTTGGGTGTTGATGGGAGAATTTTATCTTGAAGCTGCTGTGAAGTACAGAAACAGCGTATGGTTTAAACTGTTATTTAATTGCTGGATTTAGCTTTACAATAGCCTTTGAACAACTTGAAATTTTAAACTAACACCCCGCCACCACCACCAAACCCATGGACTAACTAACAACTGATCTAACTTCTGAATTTCTTCTTGGAAAAATATTACTGTCTCAGACTTGTCCCTTCAAGATTACTTTTTTCCATTTAATATTTCTATCAGTAAAATACCTCAGTCCTTGTTGAAAAATTAGTCTTAATACTTTTTTGTAATTATTTAGCATAAACCTTCCCCACCAGCTCTTCTCTTTTGATGCTGAACAAATTATTTCCAACTATTTTCTTAGGAAAGCAGCAGAAGCTACTGCAGCTCTGGGTTGTTTGTTCCCTTGTTGGTGTCTCAAGTGAGAGCCAAAGTCCAACACACAGGGGTGACAGGGCCAGCACCTGGCACTGCCCTTGAGCAGTCCTGGGGGTCCGGAGATGATGCGGCATACTGGCACATGTGGTTACTTGTACATGAGACTGACTGCAGTCTGTCTAGTGTCAGTGAAATCAAGTGTGACCCTCTGTCCTAGTCACCTGCCAATATGACCTTTATTTAGGTGTAAAACCACTGGTGCGCATTCAGATGCTGATACATGCTGTGGAAGGAGCAGAGGATGCATGTTGTTTGAGAGAGTTCTCTGGAATAGTAAACTTTCATTCACTTCTGGATTTTGTTCTGAATCCTGTTGACTCTTGTTGCCCACTTCAACTATGACCTGTTGCATTCCTGGAGAGAAGCTAGCAGCATACACATCAAGCACGGTGTATGGTACATGCCAGGTCCTTCTCAGTGGATGTCTTTTCTCATAAGACTTTTCTTTTTAACATCTCACTAGGGTTAAAACAATGTAGTTTTTCAGCAGTGTGTATCCTATCCTTAAATAATGCTGACTTAGCTTACACCAGTGTAGTGTCCCAGAGCATTAAAATAGAATGGCTTGCTAGTCTCTTTGTTGATCTGTATGTTGAATATGGAGAAGTTTGGAGGTGGATTTTGAAACTAGTGTGATTTAGTTTCTAGAGAGGGCCAAGCTAGCAAAAAATTAAAATACATACGTCTATCTGCAGTAGTAGTACTTTGTGTCATAGAACATTTGTGACAAAAGGAAAATGGTAAAAATACACATTGCTTTTTTGCTATTAACCCTTGATATGGATGATAGTTGGGACTTGGATTTCTTTTCCTAGCCATGCTATATATCAAATGAGAATCAGGGACGTGTATGTACGCAACTAGTTAAGAGAGCAGTTTGGTAAGTCTAGTGTAATGCAGTGTTTTTCTTTGTGATATGCAGTATCCCAGCTTTCTTATTTGGTGCTTAATGAAAGTTAAGCAAATACCTTTGAGGCCTGCTAAGCATTTTTTTCCTTACCCTGAGCAGTAATTCTTGTAATTCTTCAATATGATGTAAGTGAACATCATCCAAGGTTTCCACCTATGTGTAGATACTGCGGGTGGCAGTCATATTTGCATGTTGAATATGTTGCACTTTGGCTTACTCTTTTATTACTGTACTTGTTTAGTGGTAACGTCACACCAGTAACACAGTTGTGTATAGCTCTATGGCGTTTGATTACTACTTTGTAATTAAGGTGCTATTTGCAGACGCTTGCGCGAAGTCTTTTCTACTCCGAGAATTTGTGAACCCAACCAGAGACCAGCCAACAGGTTTCATTTTTCTTTGCCCAAAAAGCTTCTCTTTTTTTGTGAACAAGTTTTAAAACTGACTGATGCTGAGACTTAAAAAAAAATAAATTAAAATAAAATAAAAAAATAAATACAAATTTAGAGAAAAAAATAAATAACACAAAAAGTGATGTTACCCAAGCAAGGCCTTCTAATAAAGGAGTGGCCCCCTCACCCATCCCTCCCTACCTGTGCAAGTCCTGCTCACATCAGTTTCCTTCCATCCAATTAGGCGTCCTGGGAGACCCAGCCAGCACCATCCGGAGGGACTACAGAGTGGTGATGGGGTACCTCCAAGAAGCTTGCAGGATGGAACCAGGGAAGGTTATGGCCACTCCACATCTCTTAAAGTACCGCTGGCTCGATCACTCCAGATTAGTGAAGAACTGCTGAGCAGAAACCAGTTTTCTACGGCTGCCAGCCATGGGCCATCTGGACTACAGAATCATGGACAGCACTTAATATTATCCAGGGAGGCTTCTTGGGCAAAACCACACTACGAATTCAATTTCAGCCGCATGAAATTCAGGGGAAATGGTGCACTCAGCAACATCAGTGACCTTCCTTTTCTTACAGAAAACTCTGCCTTTCAAAAAATGGCACTTCAAACTAAACAGGATGGGAAAAAGGACGTGAGCCATTCGTCTCCTGTGGATTTAAAGATACCACAAGTTCGAGGCATGGACCTTTCATGGGAGTCCCGCACTGGTGACCAGTACAGCTATAGCTCTTTGGTAATGGGTTCACAAACGGAGAGCGCGCTTAGCAAAAAGTTAAGGGCTATCCTTCCAAAACAAAACAGGAGAAGTTTGCTGGATGCTGGACCAGATTCCTGGGGCTCAGATGCTGAGCAGTCTACCTCTGGACAGCCATATCCCACCTCAGATCAAGAGGGAGATCCTGGCTCCAAGCAACCTAGGAAGAAAAGAGGGAGATACAGACAGTACAACAGCGAGATACTGGAGGAAGCAATCTCTGTGGTTATGAGCGGGAAAATGAGTGTTTCCAAAGCTCAGAGTATTTATGGGATCCCCCACAGTACACTGGAGTACAAAGTTAAAGAGAGGCTGGGCACTTTGAAAAACCCTCCAAAGAAAAAAATGAAATTAATGAGGTCGGAGGGGCAGGATGTTTCAGTAAAGATTGAATTAGATCCCCAGGGAGAAGCAGCACAAAGTGCAAATGAATTGAAAGATGAGTAGGGATGTTGTAGAGTGCCAATTACTTTGCAAACTGGGTGAGCACTACTGCATAGTTCAACCACCACTGAGCACACATGATTCTTCTATTTACTGCAGAGTTCTTTCTTTTGCAGTTTAGCGTAGACTTGTGTGGACACAGGTGAAACGTGTGCTCCGAATGTCACATTTGTAAATTTTTCTAGCCTGGTATGGTGCAGTTTCCCTCCTTCACCTGCCCACTACCCTCTTTTTTTTTTTTTTTTCCTTCTCTTTTTTTTTTTTTTTTTTTTTCTTTTGCCTTTTGCATGTTTCTCTGTAATAGAGAGTTGAGTTACCTCACAAAGAATGCAGATCTGTGGAAGTGGATCTTGCCTGTAGAGCCTGCCTGAACTTCTGGTGTTGGATTTTTCATGTCTGCCTTGATAGAAAAAAGTCCACTTTGTTAAACTGATACTTTCCTAAAACCAGGCATTTTTCAAATGAGAATCAGACTGTCATTCTTCAAAATGTTTCAGAAATCTTTTTCTCCCTCCTTTTCTTTGATCCAGTTGCTTGAAGGATTTAAGCTAAATCAGGTTATTTAGGAATGGTACCTCACTTGAACTCAGAGATTCGCTTATTAGATGGATAATCAATTGGGTCTAATTAGGCTCTCCACTATTTTCTTTATAAATTAAACATACTTACCATTCACTGTCTGCTTAGTGCTCACCCGGGGGGGGAGGGAGGGAAGGGAAAACTTACATACACTACCTTCAGAATATGTCAGTTAATTATTTGTAACACTACCTTCGCTGTAATTTTGTTTGATATTTTTGAAGGGTGATATTTAGACTCACCTGCTTGAGGATGTAGCCTTATCTCACGGAAGACAAGCTTCTCACAGCCAGGAGCAGTCAGGGTACACTAAATGATGTATTAGGATATGCCTCATTATAACACAACTATGGTTCTTTGTGACCTTTTTACAGACTTGATTCTGAGTTTACTAAACTATGTGGTTCCAACAAGTAGTTCAGATGACTCTAATCTGGGGAAGGGGGATTTGTGTAACAAACTACTGTGATATTGCAAAAAATAGAAAAAAAAAAAAAAGGTAAAAGAAAAAAAAAGCCCACAAAATGGTTATCTCAAACGTTACAACCTCAGTAGTCTGCCCAAATGTCTACATTAGTGAAGGAGCTTGTTAATGTTCAGGGAAGAAGTAAAACACTGGTAGCCTGATCTAATTCAGGCTCTGCATCATATCTATCTGTAATACTGTCAGGGTCGAACACTCAGTGAATGGGTGTTTCCTTTTTAAATATTATAATTGCCAGTAGCAGGAATTAATCCAAGTCCTGCTTTTTTGTTGTTGTTTTTATTTAATCTATTTTGATAGTGGTTTATTACATGCTAGAATAAGCATTTAAACACCATAAAAGCACTCCGTAAACCACAAGTCCAGTTTTTTCAATATGATGATATTGTTATGGTTATATGGAGATCCAGGATAAGTTTTGTACAGAAGTTTTATCTTTGATACTTTCTGCAGGAGTGGTCAGTAACTGGGTGGAGCTTACTGGACTTACCACAGTATGACCAAATCGGAATTGCTGGTTCTTCAGGTAGAAACAATTTGGTCTTAACCTGTGCAAAAGGTAGATAGAATTACTGTTTGTTTTTGTTTTGGTTTTCCCCCATTTGCACAACCAAAAGAAGCATTGGAGTTTTTGTGTGAGAGCATTAAGTGATGTCAGTGATTGAAAGTGGTTTCTCAAAGTTCATGGGAGGGTGGCCTAGATAGCCCTAGGGATGCTGACTGACTTCTGGAACAGTTGATTCTCTCTCCCCCCTCCCCAGCAACTTCATATTTTCAAAGGTTAGGCACACCATTGCTGTCATTTTAAATATGCACTGCTCATTCTTGAAATGGACTGGGCACTTGGCCCCAAGTACACTTTGGTTTTGTTTACTTAATATATTTTAGTTCTCAAACTCCTGGTTCCTCGTAGCTCTCTAGTTGTCATCTTGGTATTTAAAGCAGTTTAAGCTCAGTAGCAGTATATAAACTCTGCAATATGTTCCAGTTTAGCTGGTGATTGCAATAAAGGCGCAGTTAAACGTGTGGTTTCATCTGCTGTTGGAGGTTATGGTAGAAAGTTTGCTGCAAGTTTAAAGAAAAAAACCCCTAACACAGTTTTACTGTTCAGAGAGGTTTAACCTTTTGTAGTTGTCTTTATTTAAGCAACATGAGTTGAGTTTTATAAACCTTGTCACTGTAGTGTATGTGGAGTGCTCATTTTACTAACCTAAATATTTTGTACGTGTATGTTTAAGTGGGTGACAATCGTGCAGCAGAAGAATGGTGTGCCTACCCTTTAATGCTGCAGTTTTAAAAGAGAATTTGTCTTGTCATTTCAGACTGTAGGCTAAGAATTGTAAATAGATAGTGAGAAGTTGAGTACTCTTTATTTGCTTTGGTTAGAAAGTGGATTTTAAAAAAAAAACCAACAACAAACCAAACGCGTAACTTTCTCAGTTTAAATGTCCTGAGACCTGAAGATTGTAATACTCATATCTGCAAAGCTTTTAAACACAACACTTGATCTGTGATAACTTACTATTCAGGTAATCTTTCTTTTTCGAGAAGCTTTTGAACAACCATATTTCCTCCAAAGGTCTCTGTTTGAAAAGGAAAAAAAAAAAAAAAGTGTAGATTATTTTTTAAGCACTAATTGCATTACGTTGGTAACTGCAATATGAAATAGCCATTATTGTTTTGTGAAGCATGGTTGAGATTAGTTAGTGGTCCCTTTTTAAAATTTCATGAGCCTCTCAAAAAATAAAAACAAATTTAAAAAAAAGCTGCTGAATATTCAAAAGATATATATTTTACCTTATTGTAGGTTTTGTAAATTTAGTCTGTAATATTCAGGTGCACCTTTTAATGTTACCTTTTTTGTTTCAAAGTCCCATCTAATGTATTTTCTCTGAGGTGATTCATCACGTAAGACTAGTATCACTCGAAGTGCTGCAGTGATCACTGATGTTGTTTCCTTTCTCACTACATATTTTTTACAGGCGCTTTCAGTGTAGCTAACTAGTAGTATTTGCGATCATTTTAAATATATGATTGGAATTAATGTTTGTCCATTAGCATGCTTAATTTCCTGCT